AAATTTTACTAATTCTTGTTATTTGTATTAAACATCCGCACAAACATATACTACTAAATATTGTTTTAATAGTAATATAGTTTTTAATCTTATCAAACATTGTTTTATACTAAAATACAAAAAACTTTTTATTTTAAACTTTACTTATATCAATACAAGTGAAAAAAATAATATATTATAAAATAATAATATAAGTAAATTAAAATATAGACTAATATAATGTTATTACATATAATTAAATTAATTAATTTAAGTTATTTCTAAATATTATTGATTTATAAGTTCATTAAGATATAATAGTAATTTAAAAATCTATTATTAGTATCAACTTTAATATATTTTATTTAGTATCATTATTTGAACACATGTTGTTATAAAATTTCACAATTATTTGTTATATAATTAATCGCTTAATAAAAAAATATTATATATATTATGTACTGTTACAGCATTTATCTGTAAACAACATCATTAAATTTGAACCAATTGTACTTATAGTAACTTATTAAATATTTTTACATCATTTATAAAAAAAATTGTTCATTATTATTTTTTATATTATTATTTTTCAATATTTTTATTAATATTTTTAAAAATATTATTTCTAACATAATGTAATGATATAATATTATAATATTAAATTAAAATTAAACTGAAATATTTAATTTAAACATAATTGTAATATTTTCTAAGATAACATTTCATTATATTTTTCAATTTATAATAGTAAACAATCCAATCATCAAATCACTTAAAATCAAAAATTAAAATTTTGTACTAATATATACAGTATATATTTAAATATTAATTTTAAAAATAAAATCATTACAGTTATGCAATTTTATTAATTTTAATGATTATAAGAAAATTTTACTTTAAATAATGTATTATTATTATTATTATAAACAATAAATTGATTTTTAGTAAAATAATTGTAAATTTAGTTTTAAAAAATTCCAAACAAATTTGCAGACATTAATTGCTCTGAAGAGTAACGAACCAAACCATAGATTAACAATACTGACTATAAAACAAATATAATCTTTGAATAAAATCTTCAATTTTTGTTTCTAAAGTTATTTAAATTAAAAGAATAAGTAATAAAATAAATTATATAATTTTTTCATTGCAATACTATTAATATTTAATAATATTTAAAAATAATAATTAATTAACATACAGTATATTATATCATATATGATTAACGACTTTAATATTATATAATTTATTTTTGTTAAAATGATTTTCATTTTTAACAAACAAAACATTAACTGATTTTTGAGAAATATTATTTTGAATATAAAATTTTTGTAAAATTTTAACCAAAACAGCAAACATATCAATAATCATAATTAGTGATACACCAAACCATAAGCTGACAATACTGGCCACATAACATAGATACTCAGGTAATAAAATCTTTTGTTTTTGTCGAAATACAATATCAGGTGTAATTGGCTCAACCAATGTTATGTAAGTATTATTATCATTATAAAAGTTATAGATTGGAGTTTTGATTACCTTGATCAATTTGTAGCTACAATCTGGTTGATAGCCACATACAATATATCCATACATTGCATATGTATAGATCGTAATCTATCATGCTCCAATTTGATACTAACATTGTCAAACTTGTAAACGGCCTGTTCATTAAGCGGCTGTACATACAAATCAGTGGTAACATTGTATTGTTTAATATAATTGTCCAGTTCACATTTAATAATACAATCATCTTTTGATAAATAATTCAATTGTGTATAATTTGTACACAATTTGTTTGCACCCAAACCCTGATAACGTTCAATATGTATGCTCTCGTATGTCAACGAAACTGAATTAATTCTATCGATAACTGTCCAGTGTTTGCGATTATGTAGAAATGCCTGTTCATTGCGCTGCTGGACTAGGATTGCCAACCAATATAATGGTATCGTTATTTTGATGACAACAATTTGACCTAAATATGATGCTGTTGCCTCATTATCAATACGATAGCTATCGGCAGGTTCACCGGCTAATTGTTGAAATAATGTTACGCACAGGGCAAATTTATTCAAATACAAACGTATAGGTGCTATTTTATTACAATCATTATCATCATCGTGAGCACTAATGGACTTATTTGTACGTATAGTTTTCAATTGATTGCATGTTATTGATTTGGATATTTGTTTAACCGAATACATACAATTACCTTGGTCAACAATTGACAATTTGTTTAACTCATTCAATAGTTTTCTATGATAGTATTTATCCCATTTAGTTATATTATATTTTAAATTATATTTTTGTATAAAATCAGATTTAATAAAATTTAGTTTCGGACCACACAGTGATAGTGACGGCAAATATACGGGAAATTCTTTATGAAAGTCAACATCAGTTGTCGTCTCGTAATTGAAATAAATTAGACTTATTTGAGTTATTTGATACAAACAACCGCATAAACAACATAAATAAATTAAGATTTTAATATATTTATTCATATTTCAAAATTAAATTATGATTTTAGTTTTAAATAACTGAAATATAGTTAGCAATAAATAAGTTAGTGCTTAAATAAAATATCGTAAGTTTTTTTATTAAAGTTATTTTAAGTAAAAAATTAATTTTATTTAATTATTAATATTTAACAAATAGCAAAATAAATAAAATAGAAAATGTCAAATAATTAAATTATTATTACTAAATATTAAATATAATCATTGATTTTTACAACAACAAAAAACTTAAAAGCACAAAATTAAGTAAATATAATAATATCTAGATTATTATTTAAGTCACAATTATATAAATATTTACATTGTTTAAGATAAATCATTTTTTTAATATTATTACTTTTATAATTAAAATTACTAACATAATGCAAATTTATTGCAAAACATTTTATTTATTTAAGTGCATACAAGTTATAATCAAAGTCTATTCAGTTATGTTATAAAATAAAATCAAATGAACAAAATTACAGATATTATAGATAAAATAAAATTTCTAAATAATTAAATTTCTAGTTTAAACAATAGTCATTAAAATAATTATTTAATAAACCAAATAATTACTCTGATAAAAATTAATGTAGATGTACAAGTAGATATAAAGGTGAACTTGGTGAATTCAGAAAATACTTTAACATTACAACATACTGTAGTAAACATTCAATTTTAGTTATTTTCTAATGTTAAAGTATTTTCTGAATTCAATTAATTCATAGATTTTTTCATACATCTACATTGATTTTTATCAGTGTGATTCTAACATAATTAACGATGATAATCTAATTTTAGTCGAATAGTATTATTATTATTATTAAAATTATTATGAATATGTATATTTTGTTTGACACAAAATAATTGAATACAACGATTATACATTTTTTGCGATACATTTACAATAATGGCAAACAAATCGATAACCATAACAAGTGATACACCAAACCATAGACTAACAATACTTGCCGTAAAACACATATACTCTTGAAATAAAACTTTTTGTTTTTGTGTAAAAATAATTGTCGGTATAATTGAATCGATTAAAGATATATAGGTATTATTATCTGAATATATATTATATATGGGTTTCTGTGTTAGCTTAATAATTTGAGTATTACAATCAGGTAGATGACCACATTTATCTAGACATTGAGCATGTACAATTTTTAATCTATTTAGTTCATTGGTTTCATTTGTTTCGTGTTTGTATTGATTTTGATGATCCAATTGTTGCAGATATGAATTGACGCATACATTATATCTTTCAATATACAATCTGGACTTACATTTAACCAGACAATCCTCATGAGACAAATAATTATCATAATCATAATCATTGCATTTAATATCAAACCAATTGCCTCTATATCTTTGGATTTGTATTTTCTCAAACGATAGGACAGTCGACTCTTTTGGAGTCAAAACAATGTACGATCTTTTTAACGGTACAAACGATACCTCATTGCGTTTGTTGTTTAGTAAAACAGCTAACCAGGCATAAGATATTGATATATTGAGCTGCAATATGTCTCCCAAATTAAACATTTGATCATGATCATCTACCAAATAATTATTGTTTGGTTCATTGTTTAATTGCAAAAATAACATGGCACAATATACATAGTTATTGACATATAGCTGTATTGGTGCCACTTTATTGCAATCATCATGGTCCATTGTTTTAGTGATTAATTTAGTTTTCAAATTTAAGCATTTAATATATTTGCTTAATTCAACATTTGAATATAACATATCTGTTTGTTCACCAATTGTTAGATTATTTATTGAATTTAGTATTAGTGAATAATAATTGCTTGAATTACGTTCAATATTGTATTGTTTTAAAAGTTTTTCAATAATTTCTTGTTTTATAAAATCCTGTTTCGGACCACACATTGTTACTGACGGTAAATATACTGAAATATCCTTATAAAATGTGACATCAGTTGTTGTTTCATAATTGAAGTAAATTAGACTTATTTGTATTATTTGAAATATACAACCCGTTAAACATAAAAAATAAACAAAAATTTTAAAATTAAATTTCATTTTTAATAATATTCTTAGTCTTATTTATGTTATTAATATACTTTTTGTATACTAATCATTGTTTTGATTTAAACTTGTTTTATTTAGTTATTTAGTTTTATTAAATTTTAAGAATATAATATAAATAAATTACAATTTGTTTTATTAAAATATATAATAAAAAATAAATCAATACTAAAAGTAAATGCTTTTTTCATTACATTAAAATACATTTAAAAATGTTACAACTCAAATATTGATTGTATTTTATGTAAATTATATTAAAAGTGTTATTATTGATATAATAAAACAAACTTTAATCAATATCTAAATGTGATATAAACAACAACAAAAAAGTTAGTGAATTAATTGATTTTTAATCAATAATTTAAAAATTAAAATTTTTATATATTATATTGTAATTAGTACAATATAAACATTTTACTAATAATTTTAAATATATATAAATATATTCAGATATTAATGGGCAGAAAATATAGCGCCGCCATCGGAGACAAAGTTAATTCCCGTAACAAATGACGATTCATTCGATGCCAGGAATAGTATAGCATTTGCGATATCAATGGGTTCGCCTACTCTTCCCAATGGATAATTGGGTCCAATTTGTTGATAGATTTCATCGGCCTTTTCACGCGATATTCCCCGGGCGACCATAAAGTTTGTACGAACGGGACCGGGACTGTAGGTTAGGAACATTACTATTAGTTATATTTTATATATACTATAAATTGTTACACAAAAAAATGCTTTACTTGACTACATTGACTCGTATGCCTTTGGGTCCCAAATCGACTGCAAGACATTTTGTAAATAAATCGATGGCTGATTTGGACATACAATACAAAAATGATTCTCTAAACTATTTTATTAAATAATAAAAATATTTTAATTAAAAAAATTACAAAAATAATATATGTAATAATATTTAAGTGAACTAACCGGTCGAAGTCCAGTAACACTTGATATGTTAACAATATTTCCTTTAGTATTTTCCAAATGTTTAACACATAAGTGACATAAATAGACGACTGACCGTACATTTGTGTCCATTATTTTTTCGTACTTTTCTAGAATGTCCGGATCATCGATCGGTCCTCGAGTTCCGATACCGGCGTTGTTGACCAAAATATCTAACTTTCCATATTTACCAATAGTTTTGTCAACAAGTCGTTCACAGTCTTCTACTTGACTAACATCTGCCACCACTACCAGTGGTTTTAATCCATTAGGTGATACTTTTTCGCATACTTTTTCCACTTCAGACAACTTATCGAGATTTCTACCGGTGATGACTACATAAGCACCGCTACGGAAAAATTCAACAGCAGTTACCGCTCCTATACCATCACTGGAACCGGTGATCAATACAACTTTACCGTTAAAATTTCTGACATTTGAAGACATTATAAATAAATAAATTAAACTAAACTGTATTTAATTTTTAGTAAGTTATTAATACTGTATAATACAAAAAAATAATATGCCTTTCAATAATTGTTGTCTATGAGCTTTTATAGTTAGTTTTTAAAAATGCACTTTAAAAACATTAAATATTAATGTTACTAAAATTACAATTGTATTAACTAATAGTCAGTATTACATGTATGTTAATTGTAAGCCACAATTTGTAACTACTTTTAACCAAATGTACCTAAAATAATGTACAGTATATTATAATATTTATAATTACATGCAATTGTAATAATTATAAATATAATAATGTTTAAGTACTGTAGTCTTGTACTTTCAAGGTCAGTTTATGTTATTTAGTTACAACATGTAACTTACAAATAACAATAATAGTGTATAATATACTACTGTACAGTATATAATATACTGTACTAATATTGTTTACTATAAATCAATACTGTAATAATAAATTAATGTAAATAAAATATGTACTATTCAGTATTATAATAGTTGTAAATTAAAAATCTATAATATTATATTTGCAAAAAATTATAATAATTTATCTAACTCTTTAAATTGTAAATATTTAATTTTAATAATTAAATGAGATTTTTCTTACTGATTTGATTTTTTAAAAAATTAGTAAAAACAACAAAATGAATTTGACCTTGCTTACTATTATATAACACTTGGTTTTTAAAACTTCTTAATCATACATTTAATTGTTATTTAAAATGTAAAATATTTTCTAAAAAATATCAAACTTTACAAAAAAGTTTAATTTGAAATTAATAAAAAAATGTTTACAGTATTTGAAAATTATTAATTTCATATTGATTTAACTATCCTATTAAATATATAGATAAAAATTATATCATATAATTATGTTAGATTTTATAAAAATTTATAAAATCAAATTTGATAACTAGTATTATATAGTGTGCAAACAATTTTTTTCAAATAATAATTGGCTTTTAAAATTTAATGATTTTATTTATTTTTTTTTACTTTAGATCAATATTATAATAATAATAAAACAAAATTAAGATTTAAATCTATTTAAAATCTGTGAGTAAATTTGAGTCCATATTATATTTAAGTCCGCCGTCGACTACCAAACTGTGTCCAGTTATGAATCGGGCGTCCGATGAGCTCAGGAACACAACAGCGGCCGCAATGTCTGTTGGATCGCCATTTCTTCCCAAAGGAGTCAGTTTTGCTGTCTTTTTATACAAAACCTCATGTATTGGATCAGGTCTTTCAGGGTGTGAGTTAATAACACCGGGACTACAGATATGCCAATAAATTAATGATTTTAATTTAAACTAAACAATTATAATTTATTATTTAGTGTTCAAATACCTGACTGAGTTGACTCGTATGCCTTTACCTCCCAATTCAAATGATAGCACCTTGGTAGTGTCTTCCAATGCATTTTTCGATATAACATACCCTAAAGTACCTTTTGACTAATAAAATACATATTTTAAACTGAATTTAAATTTATAACTTTAAAATAAATATAATATTAATTACTTACCGGTCTCTCAGCAATAGTCGATGTAATCATAATAATATTGCCTTTGGTTTTCTCGAGATAAGGAATGGCCAGTTGTGTGAGCTTTAAGTTTGCATTAATGTCTAAATTTTCATATACTTTAAGATTATCAATAAATTTGCTTTCAGTTAAAGACTCTATTGTCAAATGTCCGGCATTGTTGACTAAGACATCGAGTTTTGTAAATGTTTTAATTGTTTCATTTAATATAGTCTGCAATTCATCACTTTTTGTTATATCTGCAATCACTTCCAATGGCTATAAATAAATAATCAATTAATTACATATAAATACTATAATGACTACTAATATTACAATAATTTAATTATAATTTTTGTAAACAGTATATCAATCACATAAAATACCTTTAATTTTTTAGGTGACAATTGTTGTGCTTCGAGAGCCACTTTGTGAACTTCATCTGCTTTTCTACCGGTAATAACTACATTAGCTCCCAGTGCTGCGTATAACTTGACAATTGTAGCCCCAATACCAGTGCCCGAACCCGAAACTAACACTACTTTTCCGGTAAAGTTTCGCGAATTTCTTACTTCATCGTAGAAATCGTTAGCACTTTCAAAGGTCTGACAATAAGATAATATGCATAAAGCAAATAATAAAACAGTATTTATGTTTAAAAACATTGTTACAACAGTTTTTAATAATATTAATAAAATTTATTTATTTATTTTTATATGTTATTTAGTTTTAATTTGTTTGATTGTTTATATACTTATTTTAAATGTGTCAAATAAATTAGTTCAAATAGTGCAAATGTACAGTTAAGATTAAATTATAAAATAAAAATTATAAGTTAAAATGTTTGCATACTTATTGTGTGTATTAATTAATTAATAATAGGTATAAAGTATATTTTGATATTAAAAAATAATATTATCAATCCTTTATTATTAATATAAATTAAAAGTTGTGCCAATATATTATTAAACAGTAATATTGATACAATATTTTTAATATTTATCTTTTACATTATAAGTGCGCTTTTAGTGCTTTAGTGTTACAATTTTTATTGTTTTAATTATATTGTATTATTCTATACTAATATTTTTTACAAATATATTATTTTATTATCCACTATATTCTTAAAAGAAAAAGTCAATCCATATCAGGCATAAAGTAATAAATAAAATAACTATTTATTGCAAGAAATAACATATGAAAAACATTGAAAAATAAATTGTTATCATAATTGAAATTTCTTTTTATTCTGGGTTTTTTTTTATTTAACTATAATATACAATACAATAAAGTATTTAAATACTTATTTTTATTTCTAAATCACTGTCTTTTTCTAAGATTCAATCCATTTATGGCATAAAACAAATGATCCGATGATTGCTGTAAATGAAATGCGAATTCTTTTCGCTGTCTCTCAAGTGGTGAAACCATTCGTATATAAACTGTGGATCAATAACTTCGAACTGGCCATCGATCCGAATGTATGGCTCGCCCACGAGTTTTATGTACTCAGCATTTTGGTCGATAACAATACCGTCACCCGATTCGCCATAGATATGAATCCTAGCATTACTTATGCAACGAATTTTCAACAAGTTTTTTGCTGTCAATAAGTACTGCAAATGATTTTTCATTTTTGGCGATAAATGATTGTAGAGAACAGCCCTCAGAGCGTACGGTGTGTTTGAAGTGTTGAGCGAATGGCCAATATTCTTATAGTTGGCTAAACCTACTATTGGGCCACTAATCACTCCGATGGGAACATCACCGACGAAACCGTAGCCACTTATGTCGTACAGCAAATACTGTACCGGAGTTGAACTGTCCAGAGGGGCCACATCTATGACACTGTCGGTGCCCAATATTTTAGTGGATTTGTTATTCATATGTTGTGATGATTGGGAATCATTGTCTTCGCCCTCTTCTTCTTCTTCTCCAAAGTCGTCCTCTTCATCACTTTCTCTGCCGTCATCCAGATCTTGGTTTTTGTTTTGTTTGTCAAAATTCTGTGGATTGATTGGACTGGGATCCCAATCCGGTATTGGATCAAAACCACTGTTTCTCACAGGCGTCGATGTTTGCGTTTTTGTCAGTTTTGGCTGTTTGTTTGAATCGGTTTGTTGTCCGGAATCATTATCTTCGCCCTCTTCTTCTCCAAAGTCGTCGTCTTCATCACTATTCCATTCTTTGATTTTGTCATTGAAATCACTTTCTCTGTCGTCATCCAGATCTTGGTTTTTGTTTTGTTTGTCAAAATTTTGTGGATTGATTGGACTGGGATCCCAATCCGGCAGTGGATCAAAACCAGTGTTTTTTACAGGTGTCGATGTTTGTGTTTTGCTTTGTTTGCCAAAATTTTGTGGATTGATTGGACTGGGATCCCAATCCGGTAGTGGATCAAAACCAGTGTTTTTTACAGGCGTTGATGTTTGTGTTTTGCTTTGTTTGTGAAAATTCTGTGGATTGATTGGACTGGGATCCCAATCTGGTAGTGGATCAAAACCAGTGTCTTTTACAGGCGTCGATGTTTGAGTTTTTGTCAGTTTTGGCTTTTGGTTTGTATCGGTTTGTTGTCCAGAATTTCGAGTCGACGACGATTTTTGTTGCTGTTCTCGTTGTCCACGGATTTCGTCATATGTAGGAATAGGTCGCACATAATATTCAGATTTGTAATCCTTTTTGTCTTTAGATGTCTGATTTGTTGATGATTTCATGTCTTTCTCTGAACCGATGAACGAAGTGTCGGTCAATTTGTAGGATTCGTTGAGTGTTCGACTGTCAACTTCTTTGTTGGCCTTTGGAGACAACTGGTCAGCTCTGGAAGTGGTAAAAACTTCGGGAAACCTCCACTCGATACCGGGTTTGTCGACTTCTGAACTCTTGTAACTCCAAACTAATTGATTGTCAACGGATGAGGACATTAATCATCGGACAGAGCTTTTAAACATTGAATTTGAAAAATTGATTTTTGAATTGATTTGAATTGTTGATGTAATTTCAACGATATTTCAAACTATTGTAATAACTGTTTTGCATTGTTGTCTCGTTATATAAATTCTATTATACTATATATAAAATATATATTTAATGTGTTTTAATAATTTATTTTATGATTAATATTCTGTAAATAAAAAAATACTAACTTTTATTCAAAATGTTGTAACTTATTATCAACATAAATCAATTGATCAGTGGTTGAATAATAAATATAATGTAATTATAGAAATATGTATTTAGTTGATTTATATACTATAGTATTTAGATTATAGACAGACAATAGAAAAATTGTTTGACCCAAACCCATCCCCACCCACCCAACCATTTCCTACCCACTCACTCACCATAAACTAACCTAACTAAGTAATAATTAAGTAATAAAACTAACATTTTATATGAAAAACTGCATAAAAGACAATACTTTTTACTTGATGTCTATAACTAGATTTAAGCCAATATTACTTCTATATATACAGATTCTGTATACTGTATTAATTTATAATAAATATTATTTAAGTTAAAAAGTAAATTATTAATTCTAACTTTATTACTATTTTTAATTTAATATTATATAATAAAACATTAATTATAATTACAGACTGTAATTTACAGTACTATGTAAATACTTATTTGTTAATTGATTTAATAAGTAATAATTATTAAACAATTACAAACATATAAAACATTAAATAAATTGATTAGAATTAGAATTATTGCTATCTATTGTTCAATAATAGAAACTTTCATAAAACTTGTTTTTACTAAATATAATAATATTAATATAATGTGTTTCTAAGTTATAATGTAATATAACTTATATTATATAAGTGCATATTTAGTACATAAAATATTATTGTATAGTAAACAATCATTAGATATTATTAAATATTTACTAACTTATAACTTCTAATACGTATTACAATACCGGTATATCTGTAGTATTTAATAATAATCAGTCAAATAAATAGTAATAGCATTAACATTATTTTGTTCAGTTTAATCAAATTTATAAATATATCACCATGGATATATGAACTTTCATTTTGAAAACAAAAATAAACAGTGTAAATAATAGAAATAAATAATAAATAGTTATTTTTTTGTTAATTTTAATAATTAATAATTAAATAATTAGTTTAAAATGTCATTTGATGCGAAAAATTGTCAAATATGTGATTATAAAGCAATGGGTGGGCAATTATTTCATAAAATTATTTGAATATTTTATATTAAAATATTTATATTAATTGTTTATATTTTTTTTTTAAATAAAGGCATGAATTTTGGTGTCCTATCGTGTCAATCATGTAAAATGTTTTTCTTGAGAAATGTCACAAAATTTAGGGTATTTTAAATATATAATATTTTTTGATCTTAAAATAATTAATAAATAATTTTTTATATAGAAATTCAAGTGTTTATATAATAATAATTGTATTATTTTAAAAAATAAGCGCAAAATTTGCCAAAAGTGTAGACTTGATAAATGTTTAGCACTTGGAATGAGAAAAGTAAGAATTTAAACAAAACAAAAAATCTGTAAATAATTATTTAAGTAATATATTACTAATATTTTTATATTAGAAAAATCTAGACAATGATCTACAAAATGAAATCAACAAAACTTTTTTGAAAACCAATAATAACAATAACAATACTGACATTTCAAGTATTGTCAATAATCAAGATATTAATATTAATTTTGATAATAATAATAATAATAAATTGCAAACAACAAGAATTAACTGTATTTCTAACAAAATAATAGATAATTATTTGAATATTAATCAAGAGATCAAATTAAGTCTATATTCTATGCCATCGATCGATACATTTAATGAGTTAGAGGGCTATAAACTGCAGGAAATCAGTTGTTCGACAAATTTTCTAACAAATCCCAAACACTCGGGCATAACGTTTAGTTGCCATCAAAACGGTATCTGTTTATGGAATCAAATGGAGGAACAGATTTTTATTGAAAACATTAAAATCTTAATTCAATTGTCAAACAATTTATCGACATTTCGTGATTTATGTGACGACGACAAGATATCATTGATTAAATACGGTTGCGTTGAACTGTATTTTACACAATCATTGCCTAAATATAACTACGATTATGACAAATGTAGTTTTTTCTTGGTAACGTTTAGTTTGGAAATTTTATTTATTTGTTTAGTTTTATAATTATTCATTTTTTTGCTAAAAATATATAATAAATATGCCATTACTAACATTTTAATTAATAACTTTTTACTAGAACGATGATAATATATTATATGCATTTGATAATAGATCATGTACTGAATATCATCAAGTTACTTTGAAATATCTACAAAAATATTTACGAAAAGTTTACTATGATTTTGACAAAGATCATGGTTTAATATTATTGGTAATTAATTTAGATTTTTAGAATTTTTTATGAAATTTATTTTTAATAATTTAACATTTTTTATTTTAGGCATTGGCAATTTTATTATTTAATCCAAATAGACCAAACTTAAAACATGCCAATGTTATCAAGTAAGTTATAGTAAATTTTATATTAAATTAAAAATAATTCGGATTTATAAAATATTTTTTTTAATATTTTTTTTGTAGATATGAGCAAAACAAATTTATTTATCTACTTAGACGCTATTGTCAAATTAAATATAATGATTTATCAAATGGATTAGATAAATTCAATAAAATTATTAATTGTTTAAGATATTTAAAATCTTGTTCAAAATATAGTAAAAATTATTGGACAAATCAATTTCAATATTTTCAAATTGGTCAACCTTTATTAAATGAAATATTTAACTAAATATCAATTTAATGTTTAAAATAATTTTTACTAATTAAAAATATATTTTAATGCAAAAGCACTTTTATTTACTAATAGCGTTTTATTAAATCAATAATATACAAATTATTTATTTAAATATATATAAATTATTTCTATTATCAAACAAATTAATGATAAAATTAGTGAACTTAAATACATTATATAAATTGTATTAAAATGTTTAAAAGTCAACACAATTTGATTGTTAGTGTATTTGTGTTTGAAATATAAATGTGCGTCACGTTTCCATAATTCAATTAATCCTGAAGTCTGTAATTTGGATATACTGTAGAAATAAAAAAAATAATAAATAAAAATCAATTCATTTAAAAAAAATACTATTTATAATAACATTTCATTAAATTTATCTTTATATTTAAACTGTTTGTTTAGTGCAATAGAATCGAGTGAATTGGAAAATGTTGCTTGATCAATATAATCGGGTGCATAATATCGATCCATGTTTTTGACTTTCAAGGCATAGGTTAAACTTTGTAGATTTGATATGAAAGCATATTTTTGACTTGTTGATTTTAAAAACTCAAAAGCATCAACGTTATGTAAACATTCAATATATTTATCGAAATTTTTATATTTAAAATTTTGTTGATTCTATAATTAAAATATTTTTTTTATAAATAAAAATTACAAATTATAGATTAATAACATTGAATATACCTTGAATATCTGGTAAATGTTGCCTCCGTATGAAATAATTTTTAATTTATTATTAATAACTGAACTAATTAATTTATCTATTGAATCAATTTTATGATAATGTGGAAATGTTATTTTCGAGTAAACACACCCGGAATAGGTAAATGTTAATATTAAGCACGAAAATAACCAGGCATAAAATAATAGTCTATAGGACACACATTTGATTGAATTACGATTAAACGGTTGATGTAACAAAATAATAAAAATGATCCAGGATGATAGTTTGAAATTATTAATTTTTATATAAAAATTAACACAATTAATAAATAGTAATAAAACTACTATTGTTAATGTTAAACATAGCCAACTATATGTGTCAAATATGTGAAATAAGTTAACTAAATAATATCTATCCGGTTCGGGTGCAATAAATGTATATGGATCAATTTGATATGGATAAGTAAAATCTATTGCTTGTAATCGCTCCCATGTCACTGATACACCACCTATGCCTATATGAGCTTCCTTTAAAAAAAATATATTTAACATTGACAAAATAATAGTTATAGAAAAATAATAAATGAAAATTTGACATGGATGATTTTACATTTCGTTGTAAATAACCGACAATACCATTCCAGGTATTGTTTGCAAGTTTTTCTCCCCAAACATGTTTGCAATTTATGATTTGATAACTTAGATTCAATAGTTGCTTAAATATGTTGACTATATTAACGTCAATACCCTTTACAATGTATGGTCTGTCCGCTAGTTTGTCACTCATATGAACTAATGGTGGTATCTATACATTCAAAAATAATTATACAATACTTACAACAATAAAAAAATTATTGATTAATAAAAAAATTACATGATTTGCAGCAATTATAATATTGTGACCCATTATTTAATTTAAAGTTATCAAATATTATTCAAAAATACTTTTTTAACTTGATTATATTTTACAATCAATAAATTATCTATTAATATTCAGATTTTAAATGACAATTAATTCTATTTTTATAATAATATAATTTATTTTTTTAGTTTAATACAATTCAATTTATATAAATAAATATATGATTTTTAGCAATCATTATTGTCATCAATAATGATTGATTATAATCACATGTTTATAATGTAAGTTAAACAAAATCAAACATTCATTCATTATTATCACATGATAAATATATGATTTTTATTTTTATTGTTTAATACCATAGAATATGTTATATTTCTCTCTCTCTCTCTCGATTGAAAAATTTATTAAATAATAAGCTGTTTTACATATATAATAAATTTTATTTTTTAATTTAAGTTATCAAATAAAGAGTTTATTATTAAGATAATAGATAAACACGATTGACATTTCATATATATTTATAATCTTTAAGTAAATCTGAGTCCATATTATATTTAAGTCCGCCGTCGACTACTAAACTGTGTCCAGTTATGAATCGGGCGTCCGATGAGCTCAGGAACACAACAGCGGCCGCAATGTCTGTGTTATTGCCATTTCTGCCCAAAGGAGTCAGTTTTGCTGTCTTTTTAAACAAAGTCTCATCTTTTGGATCAGGTTTTTCTGGGTGTGAGTTAATAACTCCGGGGCTACAAATGTGCCAATAAATTAATGATTTTAATTTAAACTAAACAATTATAATTTATTATTTAGTGTTCAAATACCTGACTGAGTTGACTCGTATGCCTTTACCTCCCAATTCAAATGATAGCACCTTGGTAGTGTCTTCCAATGCATTTTTCGATATAACATACCCTAAAGTACCTTTTGGCTAATAAAATACAATTTTTAAATTTAATTTAAATTTATAACTTTAAAATAAATATAATATTATTTAGTTACCGGTCTCTCAGTAAAAGTCGATGTAATCATAATAATATTGCCTTTGGTTTTCTCGAGATAAGGAATGGCCAGTTGTGTGAGCTTTAGGTTTGCATTAATGTCTAAATTTTCATATACTTTAAGATTATCAATAAATTTGCTTTCAGTTAAAGACTCTATTGTCAAATGTCCGGCATTGTTGACTAAGACATCGAGTTTTGTAAATGTTTTAATTGTTTCATTTAATATAGTCTGCAATTCATCACTTTTTGTTAGATCTGCAATCACTTCCAATGGCTATAAAAAATTAATAAATTATAAGTATTCACTTTATTAACTATTAATTTTTAAATGAATATAAATTATAATTTTTTAGTTATTTATAAATTATATAAAATACCTTTAATTTTTTAGGAGACAATTGTTGTGCTTCGAGAGCCACTTTGTGAACTTCGTCGGCTTTTCTACCAGTGATCACTACATTAGCTCCCAGTGCTGAGTATAACTTGACAATTGTAGCTCCAATACCAGTGCCCGAACCGGTGACTAATACTACTTTTCCGGTAAAGTTTCGCGAATTTCTTACCTCATCATAAAAATCATTAGCACTTTCATAGATCTGAAAATATGATATTATGAATAAAGCAAACAAAAATATAAATTTTATATTAAAAGTCATTTTTATAATACTGTTATATGATATTAATAATTTTAATAATTAAATTTTTTTTATATAATACTTTGAATTCATTTTTTTGTTTATATACACATTTTAAATGTGCCAAAAATAATTTTAAATAGATTAAACTGTTTACATACTTTTTATTAATTGATTAATAATAGATATAAAATATATTTAGATATAGAAAATATTGTATTATAATTGTATTAATATTTTATTATTTATAGATATTTTTCATGTAACACTTTATTGTTACGTTTAGCACTAATTATTATATCAATACATTGCAGTCTTATGTTTAGTATCTATGTATTGCTTTAAATTATATCCTAACATATTTTTTAACATTTAGTGCTAAACGTAACAAACAAAGTGTTACAGTTTTTAACTTACAATCAATCTATTTATTTATAATATAAATTTTATATACAGTATATTAAAATACTATTATTGCTAATGTCTAATAAGTTTATATAGTGCAAACTTTTTTATATACTTTTACTATTTTTTTAATTGATAGTAAATATCACTAAAAAATATATTTTGCAATAAAAATCAATAACATATAGTTAATCTCTATTTTTCTAATCTAATATACATTTATAGTATATTACATTTATATTGGTATTGTGCAATGAAAGTGACCCTTGATATAAAATTTTTTTTAACTAATTTTATAAAAAAGTTAATTAAGTTAGATTAATTTTATTTTCACTTTATAATACTATAACATCTCCTCATTTGTCATGAAAATTTTTAATACATTTGATAAACAACTTCCTGTGGTTTTTAATCAAAAAGCACATCGACTACCATTTAGACATCATCTGGAACTTTGATTTTTTCGATGTTAAAGGAGTGTTGTATTGATCGAAACAAATAACATTTTGACAAAGCAATATTTGATCAATATGATAATTCATAAACCGTTTTAATCAATCTTATAGATCCATTCGAATTTACTAATAAAAAAGTTCTGGCATATTTGCACTTAATTAGCCTATTGTGTAAGAGCAAGATTATATAGTAGTTAAATAAATGACAGATATTTTTAGTAAAATGAGGTCAAATCTGTTTTAATGGTTAATAAAATCAATGACCAATATATCTCGAATTAATTTAAATTAAAACATCAAATTTATCACTTATAATTTATATATTAATTTCATTTAAACCTTTGATGTCAGTCACGGACTTTCTTTATCTTCCACATTAACACCTTTTGTTTTTAATTTCTTTAACTAAAGCTGATATGCTCTCTTAGTGACGGCTTCAAGATAAGTATAACTAAAATTTATTGCGGGTTTCAATAGATTAGTTTTGCAATGATATTCATATTCTATCTCATATTTTAATTGGATGTCATGCGAGTTCAAGCCGTCTAACTATTTTATTTTAAGTTATATTACAATTCTTTAATATCAAAATTAAAGACTAGTAATCAATGTATCTGTATGTGAACAAATCATTTTTTAAACATTACATGGGGTCACACAAAAATAAAGTTACTTTTTGTTATTTGATTTAGCTCACTTTCTATACACGGCACCAATACATTATTTTATACTTATCTTTTAATTTATTAGTGCATTTTTAGTGTTTTATATTGTATTTATTTTTATCATTATTTTATGAATTAATAATCTATTTATTAATATACTCTATTTATTATATTGTTAATTTAAATTTTAAAAATAATAAAATATATTGAATATAATGCTTACATTAACCCAATTATAATACAATTAATACAATAAAATATTTAATAAAAATAAAATAAAAAATTTTAATAACTTTAAGAATATAAATCTTTAAATTAAAATTTTAATGTGATATATTTTACTGTTAATTTTTTAACAAAATTGACAAAATCGCGATTTACATATAAAATACATTTTTTCTATAATTAAACAAAATAATGCTAATGTATTGCCACAAATGTAAAATATTGATATTGTGTTGAAATTTTTAAACAATAAAACAATTTTACGAAATTCATTAACTTTATAATGTGCATCACGTGTCCATAATTCAATAAAGCCACCAACATTTAATTTGGATAAACTAGATTTTTGAAAAATTACATATATAATTATTTATATATTATATACGGTATAAATTTATATTTCAATTTACATATTAGTGAAATTTTTCTGATATTTAAAGTTTCTGTTCATAGCTATAGCACCCAATGAAATAGATAATGTAGCTTGATCATTATGCTCCGGTACGTAATATCGATCCAAATTGTATGCTTTCAATGCATATCTCTGTGTTATTCTATTTGATATAAATGCATATAATTGATTTGAGCCGGTCAAAAATCTATATATATCATCATTTTCTAAATATCTAATATTATCATTTATATCGTTATAGATATTATGTTGTTGTTTCTAAATAAATTTATAGATAAAAATTTAAATTACAAAAGTTTTACAATAAATAATTAATGATTAAAAAATGATTAAGTTAGAAAACTAACGTCAAATAAATAATAAACATAACTTCTATATGTAATTAGTTGTAATTTATTTGTTAGCAAAGCTGTAATCAATTTATCAACAGTGTCAATTTTATTGTCATTAGGAAATGTTATTTTTGAATATAGACAACCAGCGTAAGTGGATGCAAAAATTAAGCATGATAATAACCATACACCTATTAGTATTTTATATGAACTCCCATTAATATTATTTCTATTAAATGGCTGATAAACTAATGATTTTAAAAATATAGTAGATTTACGCATATAATTATTTCCTATTAATAGATAGTTAACTAAATTAATATAACTAAAAATAAACACAATTGTTAGCATTAATAGCAGCCAGATATAAATGTCAAATATTTTAAATATGTTAATAATGTATGTTTTGATGGGCGCCGGTACCATAAATGTGAATGTGTCGACACAATATGGATAGCTAAAATTTATTGCATTCACCCTTTCCAATGTCATAGATATATCACCCAAACCTATATGAGCTTCCTAGTTTTAAAATAATATTTAAAAAATCTATTTAAAACATACAAATTAAATGTTATTTTATAATAAAAATAATAATAAATTACATTTCTATGTAAATATCCAATAACACCATTCCATGTATTATTAGGAAACAATTCACCCCACATATAATCACAATTAATAATAGTATAGGTGAAATTCAATATTTTCTGCAAAATTGTTATAATATTATAGTCAATCCCTTTTATAATTTCAAACTTTTTTGTTATATTGTTTTCAGTTAGATATACAAATGGAGTAACCTATTAATTGTATAGTTTAATTTAATTAGTTTTATTTATTTCTAATTAATAAAATTTTATTATATTTAATATTTAGTAGATTTAAAATATATTTACATTATTAGCAGCAATAATAAAGTTGTCACCCATTTTAAAAAATACAATTTTTTAATACAAATCTAATATAATATATTAATAAAATTTGAAATTTCATTATTTAATATGCCGTAGTAATAATTTTTCTTATTTATTATACCGTATATTTGTTATTTACTATTTATATAAATATTAAAATTATTGTAGTAAACATTATTATATTTAATGATTAATGATGATTAATTACACCAAAATCATCAATGTATTGTTATTCGTAGATATATAATAAAAGTTAAATAAGTTATTAAATATTCAAATATTAACATAAAAAAATATGAAAATTTTAGTATAATTTATAAAAAATGATATTACTTAATATTTAGAAATATAACAAAAATTATCAAAATCAATTATATTATAATATAATATTATTAAAAAAATATGTTATTAAATATTTAACATTGAGCATCAAAAAAGACATAAAAGAAATATTAATAAAAATAAAACTATATTCTATGACAATAATTTAATAAAAATTAATTTAATAGAATATATCTTAAACGCAAACTTTTAAACTATGGTTTGAAAACTAATCCTGATTTTTTAACTTTAATTATTACAAAAATTAACGATTATAGAGTATAATGATAAAAGATAATTACAGTCGATTGTAAATTATCTGGCTAAATATACAATTAATTAAAAAATGACCAATTACAATCTGATTTTAAATTTAATTTTAAAGTCACTTATAAATTGTTGACTAATTGAAATTAATAGTATCGCCGCTGTTTAAGACTCATTTTTACAATTATATTTTATAAATACTAAAACTCTAATTGTATTAAAACAAAAAATAAATATATATATTATACACTAAAATTACAGTATTTAAAATGAATTGATTTCTTAGATCACCTAATAGTTATAACTATAGCTATGTTTCTTCGGGAGTAAAAAATGGCAAAATCGGGATATAAATCGGGAAAATAAATTTTGTTTTATTCTTATAGCGCTAATAATAAATAGTTTATACTGTATGTCCAAAAATCGGTTATATTTACTAAAAATAATTTATTTTCAGTTTTTAATTGAGTAATTGATTATAAAAATGCATTTATTTTTTATTTATAAACTACACTTTTTTAGCAAACTACCATAGTTAACAAAAAATACATTAATTAATTTAAGTATTACAGTAAATATTTTTACAATACATACAAAACTACAGTTTTTATAGCAAAATATTGTCTAAAGTGTGTTTTCCTCTGATACATATCGTCTCATTCATTGCTATTGAGTTAATATTGTATTAGATGTACTGATAATATTGTAATCAATATGTATTTAAGTGTTATGTCAATCAATATTTAGCGAATTTCGGCGAAAAACACACTTAAATAGTATTTTTCGGGATTTTCTCAAAAAATACAAAAATTCGGGAAAAACAATAGGCGTTAATTTCATTCAAAATGTTGCCATATTTCTATAAATATTAAATTCCCGACGATTTAATGAATAATAAAGTTTCGGGAATTACCTAAGAAACATAACTCTAGTTATAACAATAAAATTTTGTTTTTTAGCAAATGCATGACTTTTGTAATTTAAATTTTTATCTATAAATTTATTTAGAAACAACAACATAATATCTATAACGATATAAATGATAATATTAGATATTTAGAAAATGATGATATATATAGATTTTTGACCGGCTCAAATCAATTATATGCATTTATATCAAATAGAATAACACAGAGATATGCAGTTGAGTTATTAAAATTTTTTATTTTATTTTTATTAAATATTTTGTTGTATTAATTGTATTATAATTGGGTTAATGTAAGCATTATATTCAATATATTTTATTATTTTTAAAATCTAAAAAATAGTAAAAATCTTTATTAACAATATAATAAATAGTCAGGGTTAAGCAAGGTTTTGGATTTTATGGGGGTAGACCGGGGTAAAATTTACAAAATTCTCGAAAAATCTTGGAGGGGGGATATTGGGTGGAGTAAGATTTTTATTGCATTTTTAAACGGCAATTTTTTCAAAAATCCAAAATAAAGTGGGGGGGAAATCATTTCTTCTCGTTTTTAAGCGACAATTTTTCCCATTTGGTCAAAAAGTCCTGGGGGTAAAATCCCAAAATCTCGATCTTAGGGGGAGGGTATTTTGGTCTTACCCCTCTCCCTACCCCCCTTACTTAACCCTGAAATAGAGTATATTAATAAATAGATTATTAATTCATTAAATAATGATAAAAATAAATACAATATAAAACACTAAAAATGCACTAATAAATTAAAAGATAAGTATAAAATAATGTATAAATGTAATATACTATAAATGTATATTAGATTAGAAAAATAGAGATTAACTATATGTTATTGATTTTTATTGCAAAATATACTTTTTAGTGATATTTACTATCAATTAAAAAAAATTAGTAAAAGTATATAAACTTAATTAAACTTATTAATATTATTAATATCATATAACAGAATTATAAAAATGATTTTTAACATAAAATTTATGTTTTTGTTTACTTTATTCATAATATCATTTTTTCAGATCTATGAAAGTGCTAATGATTTTTATGATGAGGTAAGAAATTCGCGAAACTTTACCGGAAAAGTAGTATTAGTCACCGGTTCGGGCACTGGTATCGGGGCTTCAATCGTCAAGTTATACTCAGCACTGGGAGCTAATGTAGTAATTACCGGTAGAAAACCCGATGAAATACACAAAGTAGCTCAAGAAGCCCAACAATTGTCACCAAATAAACTTAAAGTATAATTTTAAAAGATTATATATATATATATATTGTATACAAAACTTATATTTAATTGTATTTAAATAATAGCCACTAGAAGTTAAAGCCGATCTCATTAAAAGTGATGAATTAAAAAATTTGTTAACAAAAACTATTGAAACATTTGGCAAATTAGATATTTTGGTCAACAATGCCGGCAGTGGAGGATTGGCTGCCATAACTGACCCCAAGTTTATTGATGCACTCAAATCAGTTGAAATACTTAATATCAATGCAAACCTACAGCTGACACAACTGGCTATTCCTTATCTCGAGAAAACCAAAGGCAATATTGTTATGATTACAGCAATTACTACAGAGAGACCAGTAATTAGAAATAAAATGTATAATTATTACTTAAATTTTACATAAAAAATTAATTTATCAATAGATCAAAAATTGGTTACCATATAATATAGCTAAAGATGCCCTGGAAGATGCCACCAAGGTATTATCATTTGAATTGGGAGGTAAAGGCATACGAGTTAACTCTGTTAGGTATAATTAATGATAAAAATAACTATTATTTATTTTTAAAATATAACTATTAAAACCCAACAGTCCCGGAATGATTAATTCACATCCAGAAAGTATTGATCCAATAGAAGAAGCTCTCATTAAAAAAGCAATAAAACGGACGCCATTGGGCAGAGTAGGCGATCCCACTGACGTTGCGGCCGCTGTTGTATTCCTGAGCTCATCGGACGCCCGATTCATAACTGGACACAGTTTGGTAGTCGACGGCGGACTTAAATATAATGTCGACTCAAATTTTATGGATATATAACACTTTTGTTGTTATATGTTATCAAATATAGAAAATATAAACTTATTGTGAAATTATTATAATTATTATAAAGTATTTAATTTTAATTTAATATAACAATAGCAATAATATTATTATTTCATTATAAATTCATAAAGAAATAACTAAACTTTTATTAATTTAAAATTTAATTTAATAATTATTTATATATATATAATAAAATACAGTATTAATATTATTAATTGACATTGTTAACAACTATTAATATGATAATATTGATATATATTAAAAAATTGTAACAATTATAATAATAATTCTATTTTAATTGTCAATTATAAGTTTCTAAATAAAAATTATATTTAATTAAATTACAAAAATACTTCTTCAATAAAATGGTTAATTAAATACATATTGTTTTGTACGATACTTATGAGCATTTGTGAACTGATAATAAAAATTAAATTATAAACGTAAAAGTATTTCACTTAAATTTAAATGAATTTATCTGTATAACTAAATGTTGTTATTTAACGTATTAAATATAAGTGCATTAAATAAACTGAGACAAATCATTAGAAATACAAATAACATTATCTAATCAACTATAATTTTTATAAGCAAAAAGCAAAACATATAAGGGGCGATTCAAATAGTAGGTTTGCCCATTTTAAGAAATCTAGACCCCCTCCCACCATGTTCCCGTTGAGAAATTTTAAATTATCTCTAATTCTAAGAAATAAAATAAAATACCACTATATTTATAAATAATTTAAACAATAAATAATGATTTGAATGACTATTTTTTAAAATAATTTTTACTTTTAAAATATCCCAAAAAACTGGAAATTTTTTATATTTCTATTCAAAAGTCATACATTCAAAACGTTTTTATCATAAGATTAACTTTGATAAAAATTAATTCCTTAAATTATTTAAATGCGAAAGTACTCTACCCCTCCCAAAAGTTTGCTTTGGCTGACACCCATCACTCATCCAAAATGCGAACGTAATATGTGAATGACCTAATAGAAATTAATCTCACATTATATAATCACTTAAAATAAATTAATAAATGTAAATTTTTTGTTATGTAATATTTTGAAAAATTAATTTATAATAAATAGGTATTTAAAAGTAAATTGTAATTAAAAAAAGTTATTAATATTTTAAGTGTGAAAATAAGTTTAACTGTTATTATAGGAAAAAATGGCATCAAATGATTTCTACGATGAAGTTAGAAACTCACGAAACTTTACCGGAAAAGTAGTAATAGTTACCGGATCGGGGGCTGGTATCGGGGCTTCAATTGTCAGGTTATACTCAGCACTGGGAGCTAATGTGGTGATCACCAGTAGAAAAGCAGATGCTGTACATAAAGTAGCTCTTGAAGCACAACAATTGTCACCTAAAAAACTCAAAGTATTTATTTATTAGATATTTATTATAAATTATTATAAATTATTATAATATAGAAATTTAATTTATTTTAGATTATTCTCATTGCATTTATTAATCATTCATAAATATCTAAAATAGATGATTATCTACTAATAATTATAAATATATTTAATAATTATTATATTGTTAGCCATTAGAGGTGATCGCAGATCTAACTAAAAGTGATGAATTGACAAATTTGTTAACTGAAACCATCAAAACATTTGGTAAATTAGATATTTTGGTCAACAATGCCGCCGGTATACCACTGGCTCTTATAACTGACCCTAAGTTTATTGATGAACTCAAGTCAACCGAAGCACTTGATATCAACGCAAATCTAGAGCTGACACAACTGGCCATTCCTTATCTCGAGAAAACCAAAGGCAATATTGTTATGATTACATCAACTCTTACTGAAAGACCGGTAATTATTATTTTTATTAATAAAATATTAAAATATAAATGTATTAATTTAAATATATATTTATTTACAAATATAGTTAAAAGGTTGGCTTAATTTAATTATTGCTAAAAGTGCATTGGAGGATGCAACCAAGGTGCTTTCATTTGAATTAGGTAGTAAAGGCATACGAGTTAACTCAGTCAGGTTAGTTATTTTTAGTTATTTTTGCTAATAAATGAAAAATTACTATTAATTATATAATCTATAAATCATTAGCCCCGGTATTATTGACTCTAATCCGGGAACTCATGATCAAACATTTGTAGGCTTACTTAATAAGACAGCAAAACGGACGCCATTGGGCAGAGTAGGCCAACCCAATGACATAGCGGCCGCTGTTGTGTTCCTGAGCTCATCGGACGCCCGATTCATAACTGGACACAGTTTGGTAGTCGACGGCGGACTTAAATATAATATGGACTCAGATTTTTTGGAAGATTATGGATTAGAATAATATGTTTAATGTTTTTTGTGTTTTAGTATATTATTGATATTTATGAAATTAATATAAATATAAATAAATATAATTAATATAATTGTTGTTTTAATTGTTATATTTATAAACTTTTGTTGTAATAAATTAGATATTTTTAATTTATAATGAATCATGCATTAAAATGTATTTGTAAAAAAGTATTTTATTTATAAGTTTAATTTTAATCAAAAATATATATAATAAATATAATTGTTAGATCAATGTTTTTGTGACATATTAGATATTTTTGCTTTATAATAAATAAAAATTTTAATAATATATAATTTATAAAACTATGAAAATTTGATGAAATTATTTATACAATTTAAAAAAAGTTTTTTTATTGTTAGGGTTTTACATTTTAGTATTATTTAATTATAGTAAATTGATAAAACTACTTAAAAGTATTAAATTAATAAAAATAAATAATAATTATATAAAATCTAAAATAATTGCCAAAAATTAATAAAAACTTTTATTGTATACTGTATTGTACTAAATTTATAATATTTTTCAACTAAAATTCAAAAAATACAAGACATTTTTCTATGTATTTTATATATTATACTAAATTCTAGATGTTTTTATAAATCATATTAATCACAAATATAATTTAAAATTGTGAAAATAAAATTAAGTAACAAATATTTTTGTCAAACAAATGAATTAAAAAAATATAATCACAAAAAACATTGAAAATGACAATATATGACAATAATAAAAGTAATAGTTTTATTTGGTTTACATTAACTTATTTGTATAACTAAATATTGTTACCTAACGTACTAAGTATTAGTGCACTAAATAAGTTCAGATTATTAATTATATTTACAAATAGCATTATTTACTAAACTATAAATTTGATAAGCAAATGAAAAAACATATAAATAGAGAAAATTTTTAAAAATATAATAATTAAAATAAATTAATAAAGTATTTTGTTATATGATATTTTGAAATATTAGGTATATAAAAGTAACTAATAATTAGAAAATTTAATTTAAAAATTTATTTAATTAAATGTAATTAATTTGTTTGTAGAGTAATAATAAATCTAACAATTATTATAATAAAATGGCATCAAATAATTTCTACGATGAAGTTAGAAACTCACGAAACTTTACCGGAAAAGTAGTGTTAGTTACCGGATCGGGGGCTGGTATCGGGGCTTCAATTGTCAAGTTATACTCAGCACTGGGAGCTAATGTAGTGATCACCAGTAGAAAAGCAGATGCTGTACATAAAGTAGCTCTTGAAGCACAACAATTGTCACCTAAAAAACTCAAGGTATTTATTAATTATAGATTTTAATAAATTATTACATTATATTAAATTATAAGTAATTTTTAATTATTATAATAATGATATCACTTTTTAAGAAAAAAACATTTATGTAATTAATATTTAAAATATATATTTAAGTTACTATTTAAAATATTTTTTAGCCATTGGAGGTAATTGCAGATTTAACTAAAAGTGATGAATTGACAAACTTGTTAAACGAAACAATCAAAACTTTCGGTAAATTAGATATTTTGGTCAACAATGCCGGCGGTTTACCCCTGGGTCTTATATCTGACCCAAAATTTATTGATAAACTCAAGTCAGCCGAAACACTTGATATCAATGCAAATCTAGAGCTGACACAACTGGCCATTCCTTATCTCGAGAAAACCAAAGGCAATATTGTTATGATTACATCAAATATGACTGAAAGACCGGTAATTATTATTCTTATTAATAAAATATTAAAATATAAATGTATTAATTTAAATATATTAATTTAAATATATATTTATTTACAAATATAGTTAAAAGGTTGGCTTAATTATATTATTGCTAAAAGTGCATTGGAGGATGCAACCAAGGTGCTTTCATTTGAATTAGGTAGTAAAGGCATACGTATTAACTCAGTCAGGTTTGTTATTGTTATTTATTTTTGCTATTAAACAAAAAAATCTTATTTATTCTATAATTTCTAAACCCTTAGCCCCGGTATTATTGACTCTAAACCTGAGATTTTGGAGCCAACACTCGTATCTATATTTAATAAGACAGCAAATCGGACTCCTTTGGGCCGAATAGGCAAACCCAATGACGTTGCGGCCGCTGTTGTGTTCCTGAGCTCATCGGACGCCCGATTCATAACTGGACACAGTTTAGTAGTCGACGGCGGACTTAAATATAATATGGACTCAGAATTGTTTGAAAATTATGGATTAGAATAATACGTAAAATTTCTGTCTTTTATTATTTTATTGTTATTTATAAATTTAATTTAAATAAAAAATAAATATAAGTATCATAAGTGTAGTTTTAATTGCTATACTAATATATTTATAATTAATAATGTGCTAAAATAATATTATCCAGTTATAAGCGAACATATAAATTTAAAAAATTTAAAATTTGTTGGTTATTAAAATAAATTAATAGTTTGTAAGTTGTTTGTTAAATTATATTTCGATATATTCATTTAAAATATTTAATTCAATTTATTAATTATTATTTATTTGTAATAATTAATCTGAAATTTATTATATCAAAATTTAATTGCCAGATCTTACCTCAAGTGATAATTTGAATCACTTGTTGAACTAAACTATCAAAAAATTTATTAAATTAGATTTTTTTTGGTCAACAATGTCAACATGTAATTTATTATATATTAAAATAAAATTTTTTAATTGCAAATTAATTTCATAATAAGTATTATTTAGAAATATTGATAGTAATTATCTTTTTATTTGTTGTGATATAAGTTTATATAGTTAAATCTTAGTTCTAAATAAGTGCATTATTTAATATATTATTATTAACTTATATATCTTATATTAATAATATAGATTTTTAAACAAGTAATTATTATACAAAATCGTAAATTTTACTGTAAAACATGTTTTGTATTAGTTTTTATATCTATATTTTATATTTGTAAACTATTGTACAGTTGTATGTGTTAGTATAAAACGATAATTTAGGTGCAATTAGTTACAAATAGTTACAATAAACATATAATTATAAAATATATATTATGTCTAATAGTATGTGATTACATTAATTAAGTATTACACTATAACTACAGTATTAATAATGTAATATTATATCATCATTTATATCTAAAGTTTAGTACAATCATGTTTACTGTATATATAAATAGTTGCTAATGAAATATTTTATAACTAAATTGATTTAAAACATCATAAATAATTTTGTTAAATTGTTATTTTTTATAAAGTAAATTATTAATATAATTTTGTGTAATTAATTAAAATGGATAGTATTTATAATGAAGTGAAAAATTCGCGAAACTTTACCGGAAAAGTAGTTTTAGTTACCGGTTCGAGTACTGGTATCGGTTCGGTTATTGTCAAATTATATGCAGCACTGGGAGCTCATGTAGTCATTACTGGTAGAAATACTGATGGGGTTCACAAAGTGGCTCAGGAGGCCCAACAATTGTCACCAAATAAACTTAAGGTATTTATATACTAGTATACAGTATATAATAAATATTATTTTATGTCATAAAATATTAATTCATTTTAATTATAGCCATTAGAATTGAAGTCGGATCTAACAAATAGTGATGATTTGAAAAATTTATTGAACGAAACTATCAAAACGTTTGGCAAATTAGATGTGTTGGTCAACAATGCGGCACATTTGCAATTGGGATCCATAACCGATGAAACATTTATTGAAAAATTAAGTTTATATGAAAAAATTGATATTAATGGCAACTTATATCTAACACAACTGGCCATACCTTATCTTGAAAAAACTAAAGGCAACGTTGTTTTCATAACTGGCATTCAAGTCGATAGACCGGTTAGTTAATTATTTTTTAAATTAGGATATTTATATTTTAATAAATTTATTTTATTATAACTTATATTTACTAATAAATATTTATTTTAATAAAAATCTATAGTTTAAAGGTTGGTTGGGTTCAATAATAGCTAAAAATGCATTAGAATCAAGTACCAAGGTTCTTTCAATTGAACTTGGACATAAGGGTATTCGGGTTAATTCAGTTAGGTAATTTAGCATGATTAAATATTAATTATTACAACAATAATAATTTGTAAAATATTATTAATAACTAAATTAATTATTAATTATTAATTTAGTCCGGGTTTTATTGAGTCTCATCCTGAATGGGATGACTCTAATCGGAGAGCTTTGTTCAATAAGGCCGTCAAAGCGACACCATTGGGCAAAATTGGTGAACCCATTGATGTGGCAAAAGCTGTGGTATTTTTGAGCTCAACAGACGCCTCCTTTATAACCGGACAAAGTTTGTTAGTCGACGGAGGAATTCAATATAATTTGGATTCAAATTTTTTTGAGGACTTTTTAAATAAATTTATTTAAATAAACTGAAACAACTGATAAAATTTAATTTAATTATTATTATCATATAATATATTATAATCATTAAATAAATTATTTGTTAAAAATAAAATAGTTTTGCTAATTATTAATCTCACTATTTATTTGTATGTTTATGTAAATATAGTATTAATTTACGCTAATTAATAAAAATAATTATATTTTTTCAAATATATTTTTTTTGTTAGCAAATACGATATATTATTTTACTTAAGATTAATAAATAAATCAATTTTATCTAGTAATTAATTAATTGTATTTTTAATATCTATTGTATCAAATCTGATCATTTAATTATTTTTTGTTTTTTAATAATTGTAATTTTAGTTGTACTTTATTACAAATTAACTTTTAAAATTAGTAGATATTAATAAAACTTAAATTCTTTAATTTTTATTTAATATATTATTTTTTTATGTTATTATTTTTAGTAAAAATAATTTTGTTTTAGTAAATTGAATTTATTGATTTTAATTATTACAATATAATTTAAATTGAAAATATGTTATTATATGTACAGTAAATAAATAATTTATATTAATGTAAAAATACATTTATTCATAAACTAAATATTATTAATATAGTAATATTAACAATAATAAAGTTTATGTTTAAATAGTACAGTATATGTAGACTTTGAAAATATTAATGTTTTCCTTTATTTATAAATTAAAAAACCGGAACCAATATAAGTAACAGTTTTTTTCATTTTATACGAGTATTGTTTGATATTTTAGTTTCATTTTAATGAATCAAAACTGTATAAAATGAAAATAGATTAAAATGTGTATTAAAAAAACATTGAGTTAAAGATTTTTTAATACATATTTGAATACGGGTTTTATATTTAGGTTTTGGTTTTAGTATCAATAAATATAGTTCTAGTTTCAACTTTTAATATTATATTTATCATTATAAATATGGTAAACAAAAAAGTAATTTATTGAATTGTATTTCAATAACACTTACATTTTATTTCATTAGCTTTTCAAATTTCATAACATATTAATGCAATATATTATTTAACAGAAATAAAATAACAATTTCAATAGAAATTATGAAAACTATAAAAGATATGTTAAAAATTAAATTCAATTACAAAACATATCGATTACTATATTATTTAATATGTTTGACAATATGTTTATATCAGATAAGCATTGTGTCAATTATGTATTTATCCTATGAAACTACAACATCAATCACTTACAATAAATACTCAGTTATATCGCTTCCATCCATATCCTTATGTTTTGACAAAATTGATGTCATCGGCGATAGATATTTGCAATTATTTAATATGAGTCGCAAAATCAAATCAGCAAATCATAAATTAGCAAATTTTTTGACAAATTATACAATTAAACAACAATTTCTAATGTTTAAAAATACAACTGATATTATCAATGGATGTGGTATTATGAAACCCATTGGTTATAAGCTAAATGGCGTTAATAACAATACGGATAATTTATATGTTAATTGCAATGATATCTTTCCTATAGTACGATCAATAGATTATTACAGGTAGTTATCATACGATACTTTAATTAAAATAACTGTTTATTTATAATATTTTTTATTTATTTAATTATTTTTAATATTTATTTATAAAATTATGTTTTAATTTTTCATTTAAAACAGTATTTGTTATGCATTTATAACACCACTAAATGTTAAGACTAACGAAACGGTTGACATTAATAATAATTTGGTTTTTAAAGATTATTTATTGGATATCATCGCTATTAAAATATTACCTAAAAATCCATCACTACGTGTAGTAATTATACCGAGAGATCAAATAATGTTAAACGTATTCAAATCAAATGCCGTTCAATATCCGAAAAAATCAGAAATTAATAATGACTTTAATTATAATGTTATTTATAAGCGTTATGTAGTTAACTCATTGCCTAAACCATATGATACCAATTGTCGTAATTTCAATGACAACAATAGTCAGTATAAATCATTAATTGATTGTATAATGAAATGCAGAATTGAGAAAATAAGAAACTATTTTCCTAATCAATGGCCCGGAAATTATATGACATTTAATGAATCGTCTGATGAATATTTATTTAATATATATCCATATTATAGTAAATATCAAATTTTTGATGAAACTATTGCTAATGAATGTCAACGAAAATGTGGTACAAGTATTGAATGTAAGGCTGAATACTATGAACTTACAATGCAAGGTTCCCAAGTGATTGGCCCAAAATAAGTTAAAATGTGTTTTAATATATAAAAAATATACCCATTTAACCATTTTTACTAAAATTATCACCTAATGGGTGGGTATGTGGGGTTTAGGAGGCTTTTATTATTATTATTACTAATATATGCCAAAGTTAAACATGTTTTTTTGAGCGTCGCAGTGGCCTTGCGGTACTGTCTACGCTTAGTAACAACATGCACCCGAGTTCGAATCCTAGCCAGTAGAACACACTGGGAAATTTTTATTTTATTATTTTTAATAAAATAACAATTTTTTTAATAAAATATAACTTTTTTTTTGTATATTTATTATAATAATTTATATGATATATAAAAAAATTATAAATTTATAAGTATTATATATTATACAGTATAATAATATATGATATAATAAATAATACAAAAATAATTTATACTGTAATAATTTTTTGCCTAAAAATGATTAGAAATAATTTTATATAATTTATAAATTAACTAGATAGATAAATGTTTTGAAAATATTTAAATTAATTTATTATCCATCAATACATCAATATATTAGATAATAAATAATTAATAATTAATATATAAATTGGATAACTATTAATAATAAAAACTTTAAATTAGTAAAATTTAAAAAATAATTCAAGTAATAAATTTAAAAATAAAAA